TGTTGAAGCCCATGGCGGTTCTTTCTGCATTTCCAGTTTGTTGCAGCCTCATCATCAGAAGACTGATCTCTCCCGATTCGACAGAGAGAAAACCACATGAATCACAGGCAATTACAGACACACAGGAAGAAACGGGGAAGTGGAGAAATCATAAATATTTATTTGTGAAAGGAAGATTGGAACTTGTGAAATTCTACTCCGATCTGTGAAATTATATTTAAGCCTATTAAAGATTCATTTGGTCAGTGAATTTTACAAATTCCCACGCTGAATTATTTATTTAAGTGGCAAAACGTGTTAGGGAGACTGTTAGTTTTAATACCAGTGACTGTAGCTGAATTATAGATTCTCAGGCTGATGTGGGAAGGTGGCTAATGAGAAACTGCAGGGATTATGCTGGACACACGCCAGCTCATTGGGTGAGAGCAAACAGAAATTGGTGCACACAGATATTAAAGTCATGAAGTAAGTCATGCAAAAATGTGGTCGTATCACATTTGTATCCTCTGCTGTATCTTTTAATATAAATCTTAAAAATTCTCTTCTACATAAAAAAAAATCTGATCTAGAATCCATCCATCGAGCTTCCACCTCCCCTCCTTGCTATAAAGTATGACGCACGAGGCGCGATGGAATTTTATTGCGAACCGCATGAAAACAAAATAAGCGAGAAGATCAATGAAAATGCAAATGTGAGCTGAAAAAAAAGACATGAAGCAGAACACTGCATGCTGCCCGTTTCTCTCCGTCTCCTTTGATCATAACACGCAGTGTTTTTTCCTGCTGCGCTCACGCTCTCTCTTTCTCTGCACGCAGGTCTATTGACATTCACGTGAACATCGCGAACTAGAAGACATTCATCAGACAGCACATCTTATCCATCCTCGCACCTTGGAGCTAAAACAAGACCCCCCCCACCACCACCAACCCACCACCAACCCACCAGTCTCCTCCACCTCCTCCACCCTTACAGGAGCCTGACTCTTTGGACATGGACAGTCAAACACCTCCAGTGTCCTTCTTAAAGGTTTATGATGAGATCATCGGCAAATGAACTGTAAAACCCATAAATCTGATATACGCTGGAGAGTAGTATTAAGGCCAAAAGAAGCACATTGCTTCAAGTCTCTGAAGATGCAGAACAAGCTGCTGACACGGAGTGTAGGAGTATAACATAATCCTGTTTGGGATGTTGGATGCTCCACTATCCAATAAAAAAAAGCTCTTATGACTAATTTCAGACTCTTTTTCCATCCCAGAGACGACTTACAGACAGGAAGTGTTTTGCTTTTTGGACAAGTGTATCTCATAAAATAACCACAAGCAAATGTAAACTGTCTACAGAACGAAATGGACAGTATCATCAATCGGCTGAGGTGACTCACTGCTTCGCCATGTAGACTTCTTGATGTCTTTCTCCTGTTAATGAAAACAGGAAGTCTTTGATCGTGTTGATCCTACTGTCTGGTATTTTCAAGTGTAAGAGACTATCCAGCTGCATCCTGCTTTCCTGAGTTCCTTCACTCTTTTCTTTCAAGGGTCTGTCTACATAGGATTGGGTATATTGTTTTGATGAACGCTCCATTTTGCCTCTGAGGCAACATGCAATGACACCTGAGATTAATCCTTTTACGTAGATAGGAAATAAAGGATGTGTTTGTGTACATGCGTGCATCACAGTGCCACGTGTGCCGACGGGGTCAGATTACATCAGTGTTCTGTTGCTTGAACATCCATCATGTAGATTTCTATGTTTCCAGTGTCCAAGGAGCGAGAAACATGTTTGCCTCTTATTTCTCTTAGCTTATTGTTAAGTTGGTGGCCTGAAAAAATGATAAGCCACACCAGAGAGTGTTTCTTTTAAAAATAAGTTACATGATGGACATGAGGATTGTACGCAGCAGGGTCTAGCGAGCATAGAAAAACAGGCAAAAAGAAAATGGCCACTTTCAGTGAACAGTAGGTTAGTAATTTATCAGTCTGGAGGGGTAGGCAGAGCTCCCTCGGTTGTGAATTTTAATGGTGTTTTATGGTTCCTAATAAAGTCTGTTATGCTTCTGGCAAATATGCAGAGCACAACATCCCTCGCTTCCAATTACTGAGAAACTCAAGGAGAGACTTCAGCCATTCATCATGCCGTACCGTTCCCAGAAATAACAGGAGAAAATCTCTTTCTGTCTCTCTCTCTCTCCCCTCTCTTTTTCTGTCTATGGTCTTTATGTCCAGATACCTGAGAGATGTGACAAGTGAGTCTGTTCTCACAACAGCATTTAAAAATGAGCCAAAACACAAGCACTTTTGTGAAGGAGGACATAACACTGCAAAGATAAAACGAAACATTGTACATGGTTCTAAATATCCTCATCACTAATTTATTCAAATCACAGCCAAATCTGAATGTTCGATTGGTCTACTATAACAGTGTTCCTGCACACATCTGGCAAATCTGGAAATGAGAAAATTAACTAATTCTGTGCACTAACACAGCCTGCTTTCGTTTTTTTGGATAAGAAAGCATGAGATCAACAAACGTTACGGTCACTGGACCCTTATATGATGGTGAAGCCAGAGCTCAGTTTGCAAACAAACCTCTCTTTTTACCAGTCACTCTATGGCCCTATCCTCACCTGTGGTAATGAAGGAATAAAGTTGTGAGTACAGGTGGCAGAAATGAGGTTTATCCGCAGACTTGCTTGGATTACTCTCTGTGACAGGGTGAGGAACGAATGGTACAGATAACAAACTTTAGCAAGAAAACTGAACAAACCGAAAGTTTAAATAAAATCTGAAAAAAGTCTTGAAAAGGTCTGAAATCTTCTCATATGGAAAGGACATCACTGAAAGTTTGGTTGTAATTAAATTGATTCTAGACCTATAAAAAACTATACAATCAAATTTCACTTAGAAATATTACCATGCAATGGATTTCACTAATTTCTTTTTAAGACCTTTTAACGTTTTTGTTCACACAATTTAGCTCCACCCCTAGACTTGCTTAGCTCTGCCTCTTTTTTTTTCACTACAAGTTTCAACTCGTATACTATACCAGGTTGAGCATTGGTTTAAAGGAAGGAGGGTTTGAGTTAAAGGCTTTTTAGTGTTTTCACTGCAGTTGCAACTCACCTCGCATTAAGTGAGCACTCTCACTTAAATACTGATCCATTAATACAGGACGTGGCTGAGATTCCCTTTGAAATGAATTGAACATTGCTACAGCTCAGCAAGACCAGTGTAGTGTATACACAGACTATTAAAGATGGACCACTTTGCCATTCAGTCCTATTTAGACCCATTTAGACCTAGCATTAAAATGCAATCCGTATCTGAATATCTTATTTAAATAATGAATGCTCAAATGTTGGCCCTTATACTTCTGTTTGCATTACAATTGGATCTCATTTCATGTGCAAACCTGGTGAACTGGTGGGATGGGAGCCAGCTGTAATAGTTTCTCTGAAAGAGATAAAACATGGCAGGTGTAGGATGACCAGAGATGATTAGGGTGTTCAGCCAGTACCTAATTTTCCTCTGCTGAGGAAAGGGTCATCCAAGTTATCTCTCAGAGGGCAACAAGTTGTTTTTTTTTTCCATATAAGATAAATGAATGCCATACTTCAAAACGAGCAGCCATATGTTCAGCTTCATCTGCTAAAGCAGCAGCCTGCAGGGTTTTTGATATAATCTGAAGACCTTAATATGAACCCACTGTAGGGATTGTATTCACACCTGGCTGACTCTCCCTGTGATCCAATCACGACGTGAGCCAGGCCACCTGCAGAGATGGTGCTTTCTCATCTGGTCATACTGGGACGCCTGTGCATTTTCATGTGCGTTATTTTATCCAGATAAGAGCACATTTTAATGCAATAGGGCCACCGATTGCCAATTTATCATTCATTAGTAGCCAACAGGCAACTCTATTAAAGGCCCAAGAGACCGCAGTGCTATTTCATTCTGACACAGCCATCCATTCCGGTGTCATCTTACTGTCATATTTATGTACATATTTACTCATCGTAAGCACTACTTGGAGATACGGAATCAATAGCACTGCAACATCAATCTATGAGCCGGACAGTGGCGTGCAGGTCTCGTTATGGCTGATCTCTGGACTTTAGCTTCTTCATATGAGCTCATGTGCTTCAGGGACTCATGTGATTTATCTGTCAAACCATAATGCTTCAGGCAGACACATTAAAAAAACACATGACTTAAACCTCATCGGAACAGAGCTGCCTTCCAAGGCATCTACATGATGGAGTCATATGGGAGTGGAGAAAGAAGAGTAGTTTGACACATGTAGACATCTCATGAGAGCAGGGACTGAGTCTGGATATGCCGTATGACTACTTTTTAAGGAATATTCTTTTTCTATTTTATCTGTAGCATATGAGCACTATCCGCAAGATTTTTCAAAACATTTCCCCATAAACAAGGCAAAAAGGTAAGCCCAGTTGACTTGAAACACACCTATAATGGAAGTCTAGGGGCACTTGTTAAATCAGTAAACATTCAGATACATGATGATGTAAATTTAAAAATACAATCATTAAATTTTAATATTAGAGTGACATATTTCTGCAAAAATATGTATTCTACAAAAATGTGTTTTGCATAAATGTTTGACTGACAACAACTGCCCTTAGACTTTCCATTACAAGTGAGTTTTGAATAAATAGGTTTTTGGTTCTTTTCACACAACAGAAAAATCGTCAAATGTGTCAAAATTCTTGTTCATGAGGTCTCACTACCTTTCCAACCATACTGTAGGGTGGTTTGATTGTAGTGTGAAAGCATTTTGATCCTGAATCGACCCAATTACAGGACGTTAACCAAACATGCCATGTGTTTTGCAGACAGAGCGAAGTGCTGCGGAAATGTGATGTTCTGGAAATTTGACTGACAAACAAAAAGAATAAATAGACAGTGGATGCGATACACAAAATGTTTTAAACTAGTAATTTCTAGAATTAACTAGTAATATATTGCACACAGCTAGGTCTCTGGAAGACTAGTGGTTAGGCCTCTGCGCTTTCACCACTGTGGCCCGGGTTCGATTCCTGCCCTGGGAACCAACTCCAGCCACTGGGGTTGCCCAAGACAGTGCACTCCTAGTGCTGGTCCCAAGCCTGGATAAAACTAGTTTTAAACTAGTAATTTCAAGAATTATCTAACTAGTTTTAAGCTAGAATTATCTAACTAGTTTTAAACTAGTAACTTCTAGAATTATCTAGTAATACATTGCATGGAGCTGGGTCTCTGGAGGACTAGTGGTTAGGCCTCGGCGCTCTAGCCACCGGAGCCCGGGTTCAATTCCCAACCAGGGAACCAACCCCAGCCACTGGAGTTGACGATATGCCGTCCCAAGCCTGGATAAAATTGGGGAGGGTTGCGTCAGGAAGGGCATCTAGTGTAAAAACTGTGGCAAATCAAATATGTGGTCCAGTGATCCGCTGTGGCGACCTCTCATGGGAGCAGCCAAAAGAACAACAACAACAACATACTGAGTGCAGCTCCGTGTTCTCCATGCCTGGGTGATTTTTTATGATTTCAACACGGACTTTTTCCATCATCGTATTTCTGACCAATGAAATACACTCCGCAGCCAGCATTTTTTTTCTCTCTCTTTTTGGATTGTTTAATTATATACAGTGAGAACGCAAACCAAACCAAATAGCAATGAACCAAAAGTACCAAATTCACTCTGATTCAGATTCAGGAAGTAAGTAACTTCAGCAACTTAAGTAAGAATCAAAGATGAAGCTTACTGATAGAGTTGCTTATTGCATATCTGTCAGATATAGCCTTTGTTGGGCACAGAGGATTACTGACTCTAACTGCTGCTGCCTCTTTCTTTCACTCTCAGATAGCCTCACAGGGATTGCTGACCTATAAGAGTACTCACTGGCCCATGGGATGTGTGTATGTCAAAAGACAGCCATTTGCCTTTAAGCACACACACACACACACACACACACACACATGAATATGCTGCTGTTACTCATGCAGAGAATGAAACTCGACAAACACTCGAAAACCAAGGCATAAGAGAAATCCAGCATTCAGTGCTCGTACAGCTATTATCAAATTTTATCTTCCCCTTTTCGAGTGCATTGTTTTTCTACCTTTTTATCCAAGTGTGGACAGATCAAGTGAAAGCTCCAGTATGTTGTCCAGTCCTGTGTTCTGCTGCCCGGAAGTCTGATTAACTAGGCTAAATAGCAGCAAATAACATAATTAAATTCAACAGTATGACAAGTTAATTATGTTCATTGTGACTTTTGTAGCCAAAATCTTTATCCTCTCCTGATAATTTCTCTGCTGAAGAAGCATCATGTTTGTGCCATTAACAAAAAGGCAGAACATCTTTGGTTCACATTTTGGCTATGAGCTGTGGTGTTCTCTCACACCAAAAGACATTACTGGAGTCTGAGGAGCGCCATGTTGTGCTAGCATTAGAGTTATGTAACAGTTTTTGTGCTGCACTGTACTGTATTTTGCTCAGTTTTGTCACCAATTCCACATCCTTTGTATTTCTGATTCTGGAAAGATTGTCTAGCATCCATTCAAGCTAATTAATAGTTGCTACAAACAGCCATGTGCATAGTGCAACAGGTGGCAGGATTCAGAAAAGAGTAGCACATGCCACATCAGCAACATCACACCAAGAAATATATGAACCAATTGGTGTTGTGTTTAAATGAACATTTCAAATGAAATGTTTTTTGGGGGGGAAGTCGACAGGTAGTAGAGCTTTTCTTTATCTGGTCGTTGGACGAGTGAAGTAAAATGAACATTGGTGACCAATATATCAACAGATTACTGAATGTGTTTGTCTGGTAGGCAACTGTGAATGAAACTCTGATAGCCTGAATAAGTAATATGTGTGTCCCAGGCGCTCAGGCTAGCGATTTGTCCACCCCTATTAACTGATTTAACTGAGGCATGTTTAGAAAATAGCACAAACACAAACTGATTAAATAACAAAGCACATGCGAGTATGAAAGAAATGTTACAGAAAACCCATTTGTCATGCCACCACACCGCATAACCACAGTTGTATAAGGAACACCATCACAAGGAACAAAAAAAACTTGTTGAAACCTACACCTATCATCAGAACAGTTGAAAATTTAAATAATTAAATTGTCTAGAAATTAAATATTAGCTTGTCCATTGCAGTGGACTGTCAAGTCAGTGATATTTCCACTAAGCAGAGGATACTATGGAAAGTGGTCTTCTCCAAAGTCTTCAGGTTTATTACTATAAATAAGATACACTATATGGCCAAAAGTTTTTTAACACTTGTCTATAGCACTCAAACGTGCTCTTTGAATATCCCAATCCAGATTTAGTCCCCCTTTGCTGTTATAATAACCTCCACTCTTCTGGGAAGGCTTCCCACTAGATTTTGGAGCATAGCTGTGGGGATTTGTGCTCATTCAGCCATGAGAGCATTAGTGAGGTCAGGCACTGATGTCAAGTAAGGAAGCCTGGGGTGCAGTTGGCGTTCCAGTTTATCCCAATGTTGTTCAGTGGGGTTGAGGTCAGGGGTCTGCGCAGGACACTCGAGTTCTTTCACTATAACCTTGGCAAACCATGTCTTCAAGGACCTTGCTTTGTGCACAGGGGCATTGTCATGCTGGAACAGGTTTGCTACAGCATACAAAAGGTTTGCTACGGCATACAAAAGGTTTTCTACAGCATACAAAAGGTTTGCTACAGCATACAAACACATTCTATGCAATTGTGTGCTTCCACCTTTGTGGCAACTGTCTGGGTAAAACCTACTGTACATATGGGTGTGATGGCAAGGTGTCCAAAAACTATTGGCCATATAGTGTACTTTAGCAAAAGCACTCCTGTGGCTTGGGTGCAATTTTCGAGATCTTGGTCAAAAAATATGTCTATTTTTTTCTGTAGGTCCTGCATTGGCCTTCTGAATTATATGCAATTATATAGGGTAACTGTAATTTCCTATGACAAGGGTTATTTTATACATAATTATGCTATCATGTTCAGCCATTACAACAGGATGGCTTTGTGCAGTCTATATTATTCAACTGATTTTCAAATCACTGTCATAAAAATTATTTTTGTTAGAATGAATTAGAAAGTTAGGTTTGGGCTAGATGGTAGTAGAGAGTGGCACATCACAGCACATGTGCACAATTTAGCTTGTTATCATTGTTACAATGAACATTCAGAGTCTTAGTTGCACCTCAGCATTTCTTAGGTTGGTGCTACAGGTGTAAAGACCTCTCTGTAAATTGGTCTTCGTTACAACCTGTTTAGAAGTTAAAACCAACTAAGTTAAGACCTGTAGGTTCACCCAACCCTCTGTGTTTAATAGGCAATCATAAATGCTCTACTACGACAACCAGCAATGGCTTGTAATGGGGAGACACAACAGGTTTTGCTATTTGAGCAGCTACTGTAGCAGCCATAATCTAAATTCTCAGTTAAACTAATTTATTTTGGATCATCAAATCTCCAAAGCTGGCAAACAAAAGCTTATGTTCCAGGTCACAGCACCATCACAGCCCAACTTCCTCCCTTAAATTTGTACCTGTGCACCTTGCCTCATGACACTTCAAACTCCACTTCGCATTTGAAAAACTACAGATGATTTAAAACAATCATAAAGCTCAAAACCCACAGGGTATGCTGTTTAGAGATATAGTGCCAGTCCCTAGTGAATTTATCAGTGAGAAGATTTTCTTTTCATTGTGCAGTTTTCACCTACTAACTACACTTCTCTACTAGAGCAGGATTGGGTTGCCTCGGGATACCTCTCAAAATGTGTTTGTCTGAATGTATTGACACTGTGTTTAATGTTGTTTGTCCCCTCCAGGGTATGCAGTTGTCTTTGTACCAGAATGCCAATTTGGATTGTTCCTTGTGGCTCAATTACTTTCCCTCTCCTTCGCCAGTCCTATTTCAATGCCATCACCCAGCAGCCTCAGAAACCGAGATGAAAAAGTACTCTTCTTTTGATAATAATTTGTCAAAGTAAGCTATTTGAACAGGTTTTTTTCATTATCTTTGAAATAGCAAATTGGATAAGAGCAAAAAATTAAACTGGCAGTTTGTGTGTGTTTGGAGACATATAAAAATTCACGAGCATCCAGAAATGTTCTCTTCAATTCTTTAAATGTGTACATTTCCTTTCATGCTTTCATCTGTAGCCCTGTAAAGGGAAAGGGAAGCACGGGACATGAAAAGGAAAGGCGATGTCAACACACACTGATTACAGACTGAGAAACCTGTTTGAAATCAAGAAGCTGTAAACAAATGTGTCTGAGGAAAAGCTGCCACTTTCTCTTCCTCTGTGATTTGCTACAGGAATGTCCTTCAGTTTTCTAAGCATTATATCGCAGACAACAGCACCATAGCATACATTAGCCCAATAGGCATTCATTTATGGCCTATTGTTTTCCTAAAGACCATCGCAAGCATATGTTGTACTCCAACCTAATGGACCATGAGGTATAAGGGGACAAACTGATGCTCTTGACTGTCCAGCAACTCAAGTCACCCCAAGGATCATTAGATTCAATATAGACCTACATACCACATTATGAAACCCATCAGCTCCAAGGGTTTCTTGGAGATGGCTCAGAAACAGACATAAAACAGGGCAAATGAAATGGGCCTACACAACAAACAGAAGAAATTGAATTCTCAAACAGAGCTTCACAGTTCAAAGCCAGCAAGCCAGCCTCTGATCGATAGTAATCATTTGTAATTGCTGTTTTTCCCTGTGTGTTATTTCCTCTGTGTGATTTACCCATTACTGTGAAATAAATTATATATGTATAGGACATCTATACATAAACCCTTCATTTATTTAATTATACTGCTTTGGTTCCTAGCCAATCCAATAGCCAAGTTATAATGCAAACCCCTCTCAAATGCATGTAAGTATCATTCATATGGAAAGCCAATGACCTCATTTGATGCAAGTTAATCAATTAGAAGCTGCTTTACTTTTAAGTAACATTTTTGCCCTTTCTAACCTTTCACTTCCTTACAATGAAATAGAAAGAAACTGAACAAGTATAAACACTTTGCAGGGGAAAATATATTAAATTCAGTCAAATTTGTCTGATATTTCTTACTATGCGATTAAGCCTTTCTGTACATATTTAATTTCATGTTTGGCAGATAATTTTGCTTCTTTCTAGAAATAAATGAAGGAAATAAGCTAAATTATCTGGAAATTAAGTAGGTACTGTTACTGTCTCCCAGCTCCAGGATCTCTGATTCAATCCTCAGCTGGAGATACTGTCTGTATGGCTTTCTGTATCTTTAAAGTGAAGTGAAGT